TCCTCCTCCTCCTCCTCCTCACTGCTACAGCGTGTTCGACCATCCGTGATAAGGGTGATCTCACAATTTTTTCTGATGCATTTGCGAGAAAAGCAACTGTGTCAGATCCGGTAGACGACTCTGAACGTTTCCTGCCTTGACGACAGACCTTTCGATTTCATTACTCTGCCCCTCCTGGTTGTCATCGCCCCGCGAGCAGCCCCAGCTCCGACTGTAGTGAGCTGGCAGTGACTTCCGACACTGCCCTGGAGCATTGGAACCCGAGTCAAAATTTGAGGCCGGTGTACAGTGGTATCTCCTGTAGTTTGTGTATCTACCAGTTGACGAATTTGCACGGGCAGTAATTTGCTCTAGGCACCCAACGAAGGTACTTTAGTTCAACAAGTTTTTCTTGTGGTTCACTGCAGGGCGTCCAAATGAGATGATAGGGCGGCCTTACGTAGCGGCGTTTTCGGCTACAATGATTGCGGCAGCTATCTGCCAGCCATATCTGTTGTTTTTCCTCAGGCAGGGTTCGAGTGAGAATCCGATGCGTCAGGTGGCAAGAGATGGGAAGAGGACTCCCCCCCGGTACCAGGAGTGGTCTTATGCTAAATTCCAGGAAGGGTACCGTTTCGCATGTTCTAACCCCAACACTAACTGTAACCTTAATGAAGAAGGAGACACGATCGCCGGGACAAGAGCTTTATTAGCCTGACGTTTCGGATTCCTACTCGAATCCATCATCAGAGACAAAAAAGAAGAAACGGGTGGTTGTTGTAACCTTAATCCTAGCCCTACCTTGGCGCTAAGCCCAACCCTAACTGTAGACATAACTCCAGCACCTCAACTCTAGCCCTAATCTTCCTGGAATTTAGCTCAAGACCTCCTGTTGCAACGGTCGAATTTCCCTCACCTAAACTATATCTCTAAAATCACCTTTTCCCTTGTATAGGATCGAGTTCTATGTGCTGCCTGACCAGTTGAGTGACTATTGCTGTCTCTAGTTTAGGTCACAGATGCGATGGCGGTGAGTTTAGATGTGATGAATGAGGGGAATAATTTGTTCCGCTCAGTAGCCGTCCCTATGGGTACACGAATGTCGTCACCTTACTCGCCTGTAGGTCGACCCACCACGAAGGGCTCGAAAGTGCCCCACTAACTGCGCACCGGCCCAAAGCTACCAAGCGCGGCAAGGTAATGGAAATCAGGAACCGATTTAATCCCAGTGAACAGTCGACCCTAGTGTGTTGTAGCTCGTGTCTAAACTGTCCTTGTAATTACGCATGTCAGGCTGGACGCATGCTCGGATCGCGCATAGAGACGAACATAAGCTTGAAGTGCGGTGGGGTGATGGAGTATAACAGGTGACTGCCCACATCTTCGAAACGGATCACGAGTTTAAATTTGCGACCACCAAGATAATCGCCCACACCAGAAGCAAGACAATTCGGGAATTGATTGAAGTCTGGGTCTCGGATGGAAACTCCGTCAATCGATTCGTCGATCTGGCGCCGGCGTTCGAAGTCTTGCATAGTCGTCTTCAGTCTTGCGTCATTGATCAATGATTGACTTGCACCCTCTATATCTGCTGGTCGTTTGCCTGCCGCTTTTATCTCTGACGCTGGACCCCCATGCACGAGTTCAAATGCTCAGACAAATAAATGGTCTCGGTGGTCGGATAGCCCTTCCCTACTCATTGTGCCTCAGACAACTTTGGTATGGTTAAACTTCTGAAAACAAGCCAAATGGCGAGTTCCAGAGTGCAGTTGGGAACAAGAGTCTTATTCACCTGACGCTTTGAATTCACACTTGAACCCCTCATCAGAATAAGTGTTAAGTTTGCGCAAATGCGCCAGTATTTATAGGATGCAGTTACTATGAAAAAGCATACCTGCCACAATTAATGGCGCCCGTGTTCGCCGCAGATGGATGAATTTGGTACGATACTGGCGTGAGTGTTCGCAGCCGAGTCGATAGTTGTCGTAATTTCATCCCTTAGGTTGCTTACCGGTGTGGTAGTTATGCAGCTAGCTGACTCCCCAACATGGACGCTGGGACCACACAGCTCGCCTCCGCGCTCTCTGTGTGGCTACCTACTCTGTCCAGGCAAGGTTCCAACAGCACTTGTGCAACCTTAACCCCCCTCCCCTGCGATGCAGACCCGGACGATGAATTCGAGTGTGAATCCGAAGCCTCAGGCAAATAAAACTCTTGTTCCAGCGATCCGGTCTCCTCCCAACCTGTCAAACCTAGTCTACCGAAAAGTTCTGAAAAGTAGACTTTCGCGCCATCTGAGGGGTAAGCTGCATGATGCCATGTCCATTTTTAAGTAAGAAGCTCCGACGACTTCAGCCGGTTGTATGTCGAGACTGGGCGTTTAAACCCGGTTTCCGGTCCGTTATCCTTGCGTAGAATTTCCGCAGTAAGCATGCACTGCTCGGAGTTTTAGACCTCTTCTGTCAAAAACATCTAACCAGCAGCGAAAACACCTGTACGCGACGTCGTCGTCGGCCCAGACAACGAATGACCTTTATTTGGCGTTTGACCTTCACTGGGGTGAAGAAATCAGTCTCGCCTGTGTAAGGTCGGAGGAATGTGACAAAGAGGATGCCGCCACAAATGTGACACTTTTCCTCTCTATCGCCCTCCCAGTAACCAACCCCTGACTGGGAAAAATTCCCGACCTGTTGAACTTATCAGGGCACAACATGGTCTGAAAATGTCTGACACTGCGAGGGATGCAAGGCAAGAATGTACACACACGTAGCTCATTTTTTAACTCAAAAGAAAATTATTGGGGCGCTCGAGAAGTTTTCAACTTACTCCTGAGCAAACCTTGTGGCTTGAAAACTACGTGGGGGATAGTAAAACCGGATATTTGTGTTTTTAAAGGCCAGCGTTGATACACTCAGCATTCACTTGCGTCCGTTTCTTGTGTATTCTGAAGTCAGAGATTGGAAAAAAGGATCGGACACGAGAATGTGGACCTCTGGTACTGTGGGTAGTCTCGCGCTAAATTCCAAGAGGTCCCTATTCCCGTGTCTTGACTTTGATACTACACCCAACTCTAAACCCTACCGTAACTATAACCCCTCTGAAATTTAGGAAGAAACTGCCCGTAATGTGGGAATGGCGCGGGCAAGGGCCCTTTTAGGTGAGGAAACGGGAGCTTCTCATACATGGATGTTAGCCGAAATTCTGAGATTGGTTTTCGATTAGGAATAATTACTCAGGTGGGGTTGCAATACTGTTCATGATGCATCGGAATGCGAGGCTATTTCAATCCCACCGAGATGCCGGCTTTTGAATGCACTTCCTTTCAGTCGCCTGTAAAAACCACACTTGGTAAGAAATGATCACCCAAACAGTATGAATACTTCCCATCGACTTTCGATTCCTTCATGGATTCAAACATAGTTTATAGAGAATATGCACAGAAATAGTCTCTCTCGTACTTACTTTGTAGGAAAATATGTCCTCTGCAAATTTTGCACTAGAAGAAAGGCTAGCTGGGGGTTTTTAAAAAAAATTTCAATTTCCGCATAGTTTTGAATTCAACCTGCAGTTGCACTTTGGTATCAAGGTTCAAAAACTATAGGCTGTTAATCTTCTGTGTAAGGGAATTCATACACTCCTCTACGTTAAGAAGGAGACGTCGTATAGGGCTCATACGTCTTTTCAATGGGTGTGGGTAATGTGGGTACTCAGTACCAACAAATTGATAGATACAGCCCTATAAGGATGGATAATTTAGGGTCTTCAAAGTCTCATAATTAGAAACTTTTTTAAAACCTAGAGCTACCCTCTCCTATAGTGTAACATGTGAAGGTACAGGTTGCTACCAAATGAACACATACATCTCTTCTACAAACCATATTTAAAGTTATAAGGGCATCCAGAATTGATGGCAAAAATCTGGAGCAACGATAGGGTTAGGACCCACAACTAACCTGAGCTAGCCTGTGGACCGTGTCTTACCTTAAGTAGTGGTAGAGGGGGTTTTACGGGTGGGGCAACGCACAGGACGGAGAGTAAGAAGACACAGAAAATAGATAAATTTCTGTTTAATTATTTGCCGTACTAACAACACAGGCATTAGCTAAAAGCCCAGACACTCGTGTCTCGCCGATATTAAACCGCTGCCTGTTCGGCACTCTTCACGGCCCGCTCCAGTTGGTCGTAGAGGACCTGCCAACCGGCCTCAACACAGGCGTTGGGCAGCTCGTGTTGGGACCAGTCTCTCAGCAAGACATCCACCATAGTCTGATGGGCACTGGTGGCGAGGGGAGGGGGAAGAGAAGGCATGCAAGTACAGCAATCCTGGCCCTCGTACAGTGGTATTCATAGAGCACAGGGGATTATGGCGTCCAAGGGCCTGTGGGCGTTCCACTTTGTCCCTGAAATCCGGCCTTGAATCCTGACAGGTGGCCGCATAATGACGAGCAATCGTTAATCTAGGAGTCCTGTCGACAGATAGCAGATATGCCAGAAATGGCCACTACCCCCTCTTTCATACACTCTCCCGTCTTTGTGGTTGAAAACACGGTAAACGTCAGTTTTCAAAAGTCTGCTAATTTTCGGATGGTCTAACTTTATCTGCCCCCGCGATTACGTCAAGGTTTCCAGATTATACGCCGTACGCTTCAGGAAACTAATACAATTCACAATGCTACTAAGGAATATGTCGTCTTGCGTTCAAAAAATCTTGCAGTGTATATGGATCGCGTTGCACACTTCAAGAGAAGCATCCCGAAGGACTTCCTAATTACAAACTTCTTTTAAAGTAACACTTGCCTGCCAAACAGAGGACTTGAAGAATCAGACAACGGCAGGGTGTAGGACCCACGAATAACTTGAGCTAACCTGTGGACCGTGTATTACGTTGAATGGTGGTAGAGAGGGTTTTACGGGTGGGGCAACACACAGGACGTCGAGCAAGAAGACATAAAAATAGATAAGTTACTACCGAAAGTCTTATTGCACGCTGTCATTTGGCAGAGAAAGAAAGCGCGATAATAAAAAATAAACAAAAAGCAATTTTCAAAAAAGAACGGACTTTGAACAAAGCGACGTTGGTAAGTTTACACTTAGTCAGGAAGGGAAGGAAATTTCAAACAATGAGAACGGTGAATAATTAGTGATGGTTATGGTCAAAATGGATACTAGGGTGTATTTTTGTAGTTGCCATATACTTCTGGGTCCTACACCCTATCGTTACCAAATTCCGAAAACAGGTACGATTGATCTTGACAGTGGAGCGGTGATTGCACGACGTCTGCATTACTGTGTCGCGAATGCCAGTCGCATGTCGGAGACTGGAATATATTTAGGGCCTGTCCTCCTCCCCTCACGTGAAAAGAACAACATCAAGATGTTGATACCGAAGCAAGCAATAAGGCGGTCTGATTAGCCAATTCTCGATTCGGTCCGTGCAAGACGGGATTGCAGAGATGGGCTGTTTTTTTCGGTCTGTTCGGAAACCCACGTGGGATTTGTTGTTGTCGTCGTGGGCTGCAGAGATTGCGCGTTGATACGTGAGAGGACTGCATGGATGGTCTACTTATCGCTAATGCGTATTTTAACAACGTAACGGGCAGATGCTTAGCAGTTTTCGCAATACCGTAGTGTTAATGCGGCCACTCTGTTGGGCATTTACAATCCGCGAACGGAGCCTAAAAGTGAAAGAATATAGCAAGAGGCAAATGAGTTTTTTGTTTGTAGCAGAGAAATTGTTACTAATTTTCAGGGAAGTGAAAAGACCGATCGGACGACCCAACTGTGGCCTTGACTTGACCACGAAAAAAGGCAAAGTAGGCAGACATCCATCAGCGAAGTACTTAATTCAAGCGCTTTTTAAATATACAACTTGGTCTTCCAAGGTTTGATTCCACGTGGTTTTCAGTCTTTACTGTACCGTAGGGAAGGTTTTCGCTGATGGCGAGAGTGGGAGGATGGTGGCCGTCGCCGCGGGACTGGTGACAGGGATGATGGGGGGTGGTTGGTATCGCCGTCGTCGGCGATATTGGTTCGACGGCAGGTGTGACGAGAGACGCGTTTACCGTGGCTTAGAAGGTGTCCAAAAGAAGGAAGAGCTCGCTCCTCCTCTCAGGACGGGAAGTTAGGTCGCAATTGCTCCCTCTTGATGTGTCCTCTATAACAATCTCACTCACTTGGAACCTGAGCCGTCGTCTCCTTTGTCGTTCGAACGAAAACCTGATCCTTTGTGCCCGGATCAGGCGTGTGTGGCACGATCAGACGGGTTTTCAGCTGTGCCGATCCTCTCTCCGTTCTTCTTGGCTCTGTCATAACACGGGGCTCAGGTGGGTGAGGGAGGGGGAGTGCAGGAGATGCAGAACAAGTCTACTATTACTATAAACTAATTCGCGAGCAAATCACCGTCCCTGCACCCACCTCGCTGCGGGACACATTCTGGACATCGTCGTTAACGACGGTCGAACTGTCATACTGAGAGGCTGAGGAGACTATGAGGATGTTCAGAAAAAAGTGAGCTCCAGAAAACCTGTCTGGTGGACCAAAAAAACCTCTTCTTTAATCGGAACGGAAAAGTCTCTGGAGGAGGAAAACATAGGTACGGTTGCTCCTGACAGTGGAGTGGCGATTGCACAACAACTGCATTAGTGTGTCGCGAATGCCAATCGCATGTGGGAGGCTGGGATACATTTACAACCTGCACCCTCCCCCCCCCCCCCAACGTCACCGACATTGAAGCAAGCAATAAAACAGTCTGATTAGCTCTTACTTGATCCGGTCCGTGCGAGGCAGGCTGCTGGGATTACCGAGAAGGACTGTTTTTTTTCGGTCCGTTCAGAAATCCACGCGGGATTTGTTGTTGTCATCGTGGGCTGCAGAGATTGCTCGTTGATACGTGAGAAAACAGCATGTCCTGACGCACTGATTTGAGAGGATACAACATCCCAAGAAATGCGGGATCAGGCAGACTCGTCAGAAATTAGCTTTGCTGCCGTCTTCACTTCAAAGTCATATGAAATGCAGGAAGCGTGAACCGATTGCAGTTTTGGCAGAATCCTCAGAAGGGCAGGAGACCCGTAGAAGTCGGTCAGCTGAAACTCGTGTACGGCCGATCTTTTAACTCAGTCGCCTCCCGAATCTCCTATTTGTGACTGTATTGGTTCTCTCGACAAGCAGAACTATTTGCCCTTTGGTGGTTCCGACACAGCTCGTCTGCCAACATGCGCTCCACACAACCCTTCCCCTTCCCCCGGTTACTCACGGGTTTAGGAGACAGAAAAGGATGAGCAGGCTGTTCCTTCAGCAGTGTCAGTTGAGCTCTGGCAGGAAACGCAGTGATGATCATCTCCGACAGGTCGGAAACGGATATGTAAACGCTTAATGTGCTATCTCATGAAATGTTAACCTATGTAAATTGTGAAACGTTTTTTTTCGATTCGAAAAAGTAACTTAAGTAGGGCTGTAATATTGATTACCACGCAGCGTAATCACAAAATATTTCAGTCACGCCAGCATGTCGACCTTCGAAGAAGCTTCTTTTCGGCCGTATGCAAAAAGTGGACTCTGAAAAATAGCTACTTAAGCAGTAGGATTTTTCTTGGCGGTTTTCCATGTCCACATATATGTAAATATATCACATAGAAAACATAACACAAATATTATTTTCTTGTACTTATTTGGTAGCAAACTACGTCTTATGCAAATTTGTTATTTGAAGAGAGCATCTTCCGATTTTTTAAGGGTTTTCAATTTCTTAATAATTTTTGTCTCATCTGCCATTAAACTTGCATTCAAGGTCTCCAAACCATACCCCGTATGCGTTCCGCCAAGTGAATACCGCAAATTTCACTATGCCGTTGGGAAGACTTCATACAGGACTCATGAAAATGTGTAATGGATGCGGACCAGGTTGTTTACTTTATAGGTAGCATTAATATACGTGCTGATGCAATAGTGTATGGCTAGACATTTCACAGTCTTGAAAAATGTCGTAATTAGAAACCTTTTAGAACCAAACGATACTCTCTCTTCATGTACAAAATCTGAAGAAAACGCCGTTTGTTACTAAATTAGTGCTGAAAAAATATATCTGTGCATGTTTCCCACGAAAACTGCTTAACTTTACAAGAGCTTCGGAAACCAACGGGGAAGACTCACACTACATATGTAAGTAGTCATCTTTTGAAGAGCGTAGTTATCGCAGGCGGCCGACAAGGAGCTCATTCAAGAGCCATTATCTTGGCATGACTAAAACGCCTTAGGATGATTATTATTCCAATCCTGACAAGGTGATTTTTTATATTAACATTTCTTGAGACAGCACATCTACTGTATATCACCATGCAGCATGATCCCAAGATAATTCAGTTACTTCAGGATGCCGGCTTCCGAATTAAATTCTTTTCGGCCGCCTGCAAAAACGGCACTCTGTAATATAGGACTACTCGTGTAGTACGAATTTTTCTCATTGATGTTTGATGCTCTTATAGATTCAAATATATTTCATAGAAAACATGCATAAAAATACTCATTCTTTTGCTTATTTTGTAGCAAATTACATCTTTCAGTTTTAAACTTGAAGGAAGAATATAATTCGGTTTTAAAAAACTTTCCTAATTCCCGAAAATATTGTGAACTCGACCTGCCATTACACTTACGCCCAGGGTTTTCAAACTACAAACTGTATGTATTCTGTGTACGCAAAATCACACATTTCTATAAGCTATTAAGACGGGACCATATGGGACCCATAAAATTTAGCAGTGGATTTAAACCACAGTGCAAACTTTACAAGCAACATTAGTAACTGCAGAGACATGATGTTTTATGAACGAGTATTTCACGGTCTTAATAATCTCACAGTTAGAAGCTTTTTTAAAAAGTGAATTATACCTTTCCTTTAGGTTTAAAATTGGAAAGAGATGTACTTTGTTACCAAATGAGTAGAAGAATGAGTATTTTATGCATGCTTTCTATGAAATATATTTAAATTTATAAGGGCTTCGAGCATCAGGAGAAAAATTAATACTACACGAGTGGTCATATTTTACAGAGTGCTGTTTTTGCAGGCGGCCGAAAAGGAGTTTATTCGGAAGCCGGCATTCTGAAGTAACTGAATTATCTTGGGATCATGCTGCATGGTGATTAATATTACAACCCTACGTAAGCAATCTCTTCGAGTCGAAAACGCATTTAGGAATTTCAGTCAACATTTTATGAGTTAGCGCATCTACTACACTTACGTGCGTAATGTGTGATCATGTGCTTCAAAAGCCTGTTGAGAGAAACAGTGGTTTGCATTTTTAAAGTCTGTTTACACTTTGGTGGCGCCGATGGCCTCGGGACTTGCGAAGAACACGATTCAGAGTCAAAACTCTCAGACAACTCCGTTTGCAGCCTGCTGCAGCAACAACTGAAAAACTGGTTTCACTGTGGAGACCAACCAACTGGAAAGCACCGTAAACATCAGCCCTGAAAATGCGAACGAATCAAACCCTTATTTTGTAGCCCTCGAGGTGGTTCTTTGCGCCCTAGTCGGACTGTAGAGTCACCTATACATCAGTATTTGAACAAGAACCAAAAGTAAACTAAAATATTCCACATATTAATAGAACCAGCGAAAAACTTCGCCCTAATCCGAGAAAGTTTAGGACATCACTGTTCTGAGATAGCGCGATATACCATACCTGACAGCACCGGCATTAGCTAAAAACCCAGACACTTGTGTCTCGCCAGTATTCTGCTACTGTATGGCACAGCTGCGGGGGGTCCGGCTGATCAATGGGTCTTCTGGCGTTCCCTGCGTACTTTCTGGGTATAACAGGCTGGATACTCCAGTTTCTGAATTACAACTTTTTAATTTTCTCAGAAATTAATTGGCTCAAATATTCATATCAAAATTCAGTCTGAGTCCATAAGTCTCAAATACACCGATTTACTCCAAGTTAGCGATTAATTTTTGGGGAAATTAAAGAGCTGCAATTTAAAAACTGGAGTATCCAGCCAGTCATACCCAATCCCGACGTGTGGGACAATCGGGGCTCGATGAGTAGAGACGTTGGACTTCTAACTGACAGGTTGTGAGTTCGAGCTCCAGATGTTCCACACTTTGGGGTTGGGTATGACTGACTGGCGACGGATAATAAGCCAGAAATGGCCATTCCAGTCTCCCTTGTCTCAGGAAATTAAAAAGCTGCAACACCACCGTTCATCACCTGAGTCTCATCTGCCAAATTATGATCATCACTTTAGTGTAAAAAGAACTGTGTGTTGAGAGTAGATTCTCTAGTTGCACAGGATCGTTTAAAAATAGGCAACCGGTCATTTGTAACATGAAACCTGAATACATGTCAATGCAGGTACAAGGTAAGTTGTTTTGAACTTCCCCACGCCATCTATGTACTTCAGAGCTTACTTAATGAAAAGTTCTGACCCCTACTTCTCGTTTTCTCTGATAATAAATGCTTGCAGAGGAACGATTTTCAAAGATGGTCATTCCGCTTCGAGGTAGATCTTCGAAGGGCCGGCGTGAGCATTCGAAAGCCCCGCGTTTTAGTTTTCGAGGACAATTAGGAACTGGAGATTAAAACGGAAAATCCAAACAATTTTGTTTCGCAATTTTGGAAGGGCGTTTATCCAACGGACTAGGGGACATGCCCGTCCCATTCCGCCTTGGAACTCAGTCTAGAACGTTCACAGGCAGTCGTATAATGACAAGTAGTGTGTGTAGGGATGCGCTGCCGACAAAGACAAGGTAGACTGGGATGACCATTACTGGCTTATTGACCGACAGGACAATTGGCCCGTGGCTCAATGGTAGGGCGTTGAACTGCCTAATTACCCAAAACCAAAGAATCTGGGTTTGAGTCTCATGTCCCGTAGGGCCTGGACTTGGATATGTCTGGCCGACGACGGTTGGTAACCCAGAAACGGCCATCTTAGTCTGCCCTATCTTTGCCGGCACCCTCATTTCGGAATAGACTACTAGCCGCTATGCCACTGCCTGCGAAGGCTCTAGGTTGGGGCAGAAGGGAAGGTGGAGGAGTACGTCCCGTTACCTGATCGGTGGGTGCTCCTCTACCATAGTTAACAATCCCGATCATAACGCGCGCTTGAGCTGCCAAACTCTCACTGATCACAAGATCTGGGTTCGAATCCAATGTCTTGCCAGCTCTGAGTTTCGGCATGACTAGCTGTTGACAGTCAGTAAGCCAGACGTGGCCATCGCGGTCCGATCGACTTTGTGGATACTTCTATGCGCATACAGTAGATGGGTTAACTCATGAAATGTCAGCCGAAATGCGTTCCCGTTTCGAAAAGATCAATTAAGCTGGGTTGTAAAACTAAGCATCATACAGCATAAGTCTATAATAATCTAGTTACCCCAGGGTGTAAGCTTTCGAATGAACTTCTTTTCGACTGCATGCAAGAATATACTCTGCAGAAAATAACTACCTACGTAGCATGCGATTTTTCCATTGACTTTCGATGCCCTTAAAAATTGCACTATATTTCACGGAAAACGTGAAAAAAACTATTCATTCTTTTTGCTCATTTGGCAGAAAATAGTGTCTTTTTCCAATTTTATACTTAAGGGAAAAGTATAATTCGGTTTTAAAAGTTTCTAATTGTGCGATTTTCTAATACCGTGAAATGGCCATTCATAAAAACGTCATGTCCATGCATTTACCCACGTGGCTTGTAAAGTTAACAATATGGTTCAAATCCATTGTTAAATTTTATGAACCCTACATAATCTTCTCTTAATGCCATAGAGAAATGCATGGTTTTCCATAAGCAGAAAATATACGGCTTGTAGTTTGGAAACCCTGAATACAAGTGTAACAGCAGGTCGGGTTCAAAATTATTCGAGAATTGGAAAGGTTTTTAGAAATCGAGTCATACTCTTCCTTCGAGTATAAACTTGGAAGAAGGCGTAGTTGCCCACCGAATGAGCAAAAGAATGAGTATGTTTGTGCATGTTTTCCATGAAATATAATTGGACTTTTAGGGGCATCGAGAATCATTGAGAAAATCTCATGCTACTTATGTAGTCGTTTTTTTAACAGAGTGTAGTTTTTGCATGTAGCCGGAAGAAAGGTCATTTGAAAGCCGGTATCCTGTCGTAATTGAAATATTATAGAAGTATGCTGAAAAATGATTATTTTTACAACCCTTCTTAATTAATCCTTTCGAAACGGGAACGAAGCTCGGAATTTCGGCTGACATTTCATGAGTTAGCCCATCTACTGTATACACATTCCGCCGAATTTTGAAGTCAAAAGGAAATATTTTCACAAGAAATTGGTTATTTTTTAATACCCACCCTAATTTTCTGCTTTCCGGTCAATAAAAACAAAGCACTGTGGGCCACCTCAAAGTCGGTTCCGAAGGAATAGCTTTGAACATAACTTCAAAACGTTAGTTGTTTTCGTTAATGTAATGGGCCCGGAAGTTAAAGGGGGGGGGAGTCAAAACTTTATTTCTTACAAATTCCAGAAGTACACCTTAGCAGTGGAGCTCATGTCTCACAAGAGTCCCTGAAAGCTTGAGGGTAGGCGTCAGGTTGCAACGCTCAGCTCCCAATATAAAAGATGGTCGGTAATCTGAATCTCCCAAGTCCTAAACTATGGCCATTTCGTAAAACAGCTGTCGACGACAGATGTTACCCATTCTGCAAAGTTCCATTTCGCTGGAGACGGCAAGAGGAGTCAGTAATGTAAGTAGGTCTGCCTTTCTGCCAAACGTGCATGCTTTTCCTATCTTCGCAGCCTGTGAAGACGAAAACAATCTGGATTGCAGCGACAGATGATGACCAGGCCGCGGTTTACCAGACTTTACGTGAGATTGCTGCAGCTAGATATCTCTCGGCTTGGTCAGGACGGGAGGCGGCAGGGATATCGATCGTTTGTGCATGTCGAAATTCGCACTTCAGAAATCCCAATTTTGCGGTTTTATTTCATTTCTGTCTGCATTTCATATCGACCTCTTTTTAACCTCCTACAGTGCGTGACCTATCTCATGAAATATTGGCTGAAATTCTGAAATGCGTTTTCGATTAGGAAGGATTACTTGGTCGTGGTTGTGATACTGATTATCTTAAGGCATACTCTTATAACATTTTAGACTCGGCAGGATGTCGGCTTTAAAATGCACTTCTTTTCAATCTCCTGTAGAAAGGGTGCTCGGTAAAAAATGACTACTTATGTAGCATGCATTTTTCCCATTGATTTTCGATGGTCTTGCAAATTCAAATATATTTTATAGAAACCACAAACAAAAATGTGCTTTCTTTTAGTCAATCAATAGAGAATCACGTCTTCTTTATATTTTATACTTAAGGAAGGAGTATAATTAGGTTTTAAAAAAGTTTCTAATTATGAGACTTTTTAAGACCGCGATATGTCCATTCACATAGCATCGTACCTGGCCGTTTACCGCTGCTCCTCATAAAATGTACAACATGGTCCGCATCCATTGCAAAATTTTATGGACCCTGTATGATATCTCTTTAATGACATACAAAAATATGGGATTTTCTCTGCGCGGAACGCGTGCACCTTGTAGAGTGTAATCACTAAGCACTAATGCAACGAATGATCAGGCTCCAAATTATTCGGCAATTAGAAAACTTTTTTAAAACCTAATTATACTCCTTCCTTAAGTATAAAATATAAAGAAGACGTGATTCTCTATTGATTGACTAAAAGAAAGCACATTTTTGTTTGTGGTTTCTATAAAATATACTTGAATTTGCAAGACCATCGAAAATCAATGGGAAAAATGCGTGCTGCTTAAGTAGTCATTTTTTACCGAGCACGCTTTCTATAGGGGATTGAAAAGAAGTGCATTTAAAAGCCGACGTCTTGCCGAGTCCAAAATGTTATAAGAGTATGCCTTAAGATAATCAGTATCACAACCACGACCAAGTAATCCTTCCTAATCGAAAACGCTTTTCAGAATTTCAGCCAACATTTCATGAGATAGGTCACGCACTGTAACTGTGTAAATGACATGCCACACGAAGTGACCTCAGACTGTCTTGCGTTGTCTTTCCCAGAGCTGATCACACGCAGCGTTAGCGTATTCAAGACACTGTCACTGCCTTAATTCTAGTTGAACTTACAGTAGGTAGGCTAACTCATGAAATTTCGACCGAAATTCCGAAATACGTTTTCGTTTCGGAAAGATTAGTTAAGTAGGGTTGTAAAACTAACAAATCGAGCAGCAAAATTCTACAATAATTTAGTTACCTCAGGAATACGGCTTCCGAACGAACTTCTTTCAGGCTGCATGCAAAAACAACACTGTAAAAGATGACTACATGAGTAGCATGAATTTTTCTCATTGAATGTCAATGCCCCTAAAAATTCAATTATATTTCATAGAAAACATGCATAAAAATATTCAGTCCTTTGCTCATTCGGTAGCAAATTACGTCTTCTTTCAATTTTACCGTCGAAAGAAGGGTATAATTCGGTTCCAAAAAATATTCTAATTGTAAGATTTCTTAATACCGTGAAATGGCCGTTCATAAAACTTCATGTCCATGCATTTACCGATGTGGTTTGTAAAGTTAGCAATATGGCTCAGATTCACTGGTAAATTTTATGAATTCCATATGGTCTTCTCTTAATGCCGTGGAGAAATGTATGGCTTTCCGTACGCGAAAAATATGCGGTTTGTAGTTTGGAAACCCTGAATGCAAGTGTAACGGCAGATCGAGTTGAACTTAACTTCGTGCAGTTTTCCGCAGTAATTTTCGCACACTCTACCTAGTTCCATAGGCTTTGAACTCGAGAAGATTTATTTTAAGCGTGCAGGAGCCTTTACAATTGCCTTCGGAGGCTCCGTGCAAAAGAGTCGAGGGAGAGAGAGAGAGAGCTCGCAATCATTGTCCAAATGTTAATTGTAAACTAGGACTCTTTCCCGCTTGCGAAGTTTGCTAGATTAAAAGTACAGACGATTGCGAGATCAAACGCCCGCTGATACGTAACCCACAGTAGCCTGACAAGTAGCTGTGGCCGCTAATTCTACAGGTAGCTTTGCTCCCCCGAATGAGCCCAAAAGTTCGCGAAGTTGGCGGATGATTTGTGCGCCTGCCATCTAAGCATTGCAGCGCCGCAGCTGCGGGGCGGCGAGGTGCTATTCACTCCGGTCCTGCTATTCCATGCCCCCGCGGGTAATTACCGAAAGTGCCGAAATGATGACCGGTGGGATACAGGGCCGCTGAGTTAACAAGGGAATGCAAATGAATAGGTCGTATGTCACGAGGCCCTCTAAGAACTGAGCGACTGCAATTGTTATCAGTGCTAGTCCGGATAGAAAATGTCCCTGTCCTGAGGGCTGGTCAGACGAGGATGATGGGACCGGAAGTCAGTCCAGGTAGTTGTTCATGAAAGAAAGTGAGACACTGATTCTGAGGACTACTTCCTCGTGGCAAGCACTCAACGTAATACAACACACACTTGTACTCTCCCTGTTTTGAGAAGCATCAGCCGAAAGCTCCCCGAACAAACTCTGAAGGGGTTTAGACCAGGGAAACCAGCTAGTATAAAAGGAGCTCACTAGGAGTGCAACAGGCCAGACTCGGACAGCTGTTTCACGGTCGTTACCGATCATCAGTACGTCGTAGGTTATATGAATTGGGATGTGCAAACGTGTCAGTTAAACTAGTGGTGAGAAGTATCCGATGCTAGAAGGGGAGGGGGCCTTTGAACTCCTGAGCTGTGCACTGTCGACCTATATAATCAGCTCTTGCCCACATAACAGTACTGAATGCAAATGCAATTGACAAAGCGCAAACTGTTTATGTCCCCCTCAAGAAAAACCAGACAACTTTCTCCTGACCTCCAGACAGTTGCCCGAACACAGACGAGATCTCAATCACGATACACAGTAAACATACACAATCAGTTACGGGATCGTTCGTCCCCTGACTCCCAACTCGGAGTTGGTCTCGCGGTTCTTTCGTGCCGAAACCGTGGCTCACCAACGCGAATAGTTTTGCTCCAGTGAATGCACCCCGTCCTTTAGCCAATCCAATCAGCTACGGCAATTCACACGGCTTTCACCCCTCTAAACCCTTTTCACAGTATGAACGGATGTTTTAAATCCACTCTCAAGTTTCAAACTGCAACAGCATGTGGACTGACTACAGCACACACACGTCTTAATGAAGTCATGTAATCTTACACCGTTGTTATCGATAGCACTGATAATCATCCATTGGTTGTACTAGCACCAGCTCGCATATAATACTGATACTGCGGTCAGTTAGGTGTTCACTTATTCCCTACTCTGACTTACTTGTCTTCTACTTTCCGATGACAGGTTCCAGTTTTTTCCCTGCCGAACAACATGATGACCTCCAAAAAACAGTTCTGATGCGGACGGTGCTAAATATCCATCACTTACCTTGACCAGGCTCTGTAGCATACATTGCGTGACCTATCTCATAGAACCTGATAACGGAAACGGATGCGAAAATTTTTGAACGTCTTTAACTTTGCGAATTTTGCTTGCTTATCCACTTCCTTCGATGAAATGTCCTTTTCTTTCACAGAAATTGTCTTTACGTTATTATATCAAGCGAAATACTAATAGATTTTGGCGAAAATGGACGATGCAATATATTTATGCAATTTTCTATGCCAATACATGGCCTAAACTCCGATTGCGCATCTAAGCGAGTTTTCCATTGAAAAGAAAGTAATCTACACGCGAGAGTTTTAATAAACAACAAAAACAGTGCAAACGACCTCAGTATATAGAAAAAGGCATGTTCTTAAGTTTACAGTTGAAAAATATTAGTATTATTTAGGAACATGAAAGGAACGGCCAAAAGTGTCAGATTTTTTCTTGACCTCACCGTGCAAAAATGCAAAGTACACAGAGATCCGTCAACAGAATGCAGCATTAAAGCACTTCTTAAAGAGGTACCTTATTAGGGAAAGTTTTCTTATTGATCGAAGGCATATTCGTTGCTGACTTTCGTTGTGGACAGCCATTTTTTTCGAAAATGAAGTTTGATGCTTGAGTAAGTCTTCACATGTGACCCAAATGACCTTCTTCGTGAAAAGTAGCACCCAAACACTCATTAATTTGGTAAATGCCTTCAAGAATTATCTTATTTCAAAGTTTTAACAGGTAATTCAGAGTCTGTCCTTATGGACGATCGGATGAAAACACTGAAAATCATGAAGTATTCAGTAATATTTCAAGGCCGATCTGAAACTCGACGTAATGCAAAACGAACGAAAAGTGTAAATTAATTTAACGGAAGAAACGTTCTCTCCACAAACACAAAATGGTATGTTTACGATCACACCTGTCAGTTCCATCTAAATTTATTATCCACTCGCCCCGAACGCGGCGCACAGATGCATTTTTGAAATGTGTTCAGCTTTAAGTGAGTGATGTATCAGGGATATTTCTGACTTAGTGAGGCTTTCTGGTGAATCTGCGTATAGTTAATGATTCAGGTCGCCTGCAGTTCATACGGCTATCCAAAAAGACATCTAGGAGTCCGTTTTTGGTCAAACAGGAGAATACGGATCTCCCCCCCCCCCAAGCTCCAGGCCGTTCTTACTCCCGTGTCCTAACATTAACTGTAACCATAACACTTACCCTAACTCTCCTAGCCACAAACCTAACCATGGCCCTAACACCAATTTTAACTCTCCCTCCTGGAATTTAGGATAATACCACCTGTAATACGTGGGGTTTCTATATTTCCGTGTACAATTTATTGTTGTACCTGAGGTGTACGGCTAATCAGGGGCTACGTCCCGCATTTAACTGGGCTGTCCCTCAAAAGTACGCGAACGCGTGCTGACAGGGCTCTCTCTCTCACACACGAGCTCCTCTGTACATTGCAGATAGGACTGACTTCCGATTAACATCTTCCGAAAGGAGCTTTCCATTTGCAACCGCTAGAGGGCCTCAGAATTCCTCTAATATACTCCAACGGCAACTGCTGAGGGTCAGGCTAACGCAAGAGCCGTAGTATCTCAACCTCCAAACAGAGCCCGCACAATCGATTTATTGTCAGACTTCCGCGCGGATGGTGCTAGTGGCATTGGCGGCAAAAGGGTGAATCATCGCGCATTCCAGACCTTGCTGGAGGGGGGTGAGAGCGATGTGCGTCAGTGTGAGCGCAGGAGTCGGATGGACCCACGAAAACATGCTAGAGAGAAGCCTTTCGTGTGGGCCCGCGACCACGAGCCAGTTGTCGGACGCTTCGAGTCTCAGGTTGCTGTGGCCTGCCAAAATACCACGACGATACAGATTGGCGCCTAGACGCACAAGTGTCTTCTGGATGCAATACCTCACGCCAAACAAGGCGTAAATAAGGGCCTTGTATACAGTCAACAACGGCGTTTACCCCTCCATCAATAAGGACACAGCAGATTAGTGGGCCCAGCGTAGCATTGGCAACAGTCGGCCAGTCAGCTTAGATTTCAGCGCAGAACTTTGTCGGTTATCGTCCATTTAAGACAAAATTCGGGCCTGGGACACAGCTGAGGTTATTTAGTGACTTTACAAACTCTAAAACCAGTCTTAATTCGACGTTCACATAGTTCAATAAGAGAACCATCGGTGTTTGGTAGGCTTTTGTAAACTATAAATACACAGTTCATGATAAATGTTTATTGACTGACTTTTGACTTGATTTTTAAGAGAAGGCCATTTTTCGCCGATCTATCCCTTAAATCGCCTACACCTGAAGTAATTGGAGATTTACTACAATTGCTGTGTTTTGGGTTCCCCTTTCCCGCTCTCCTGACCGGTGAGCGCAACTTACCACTCAATAGTTCGACCATCGTAAATGATGATTCCATTATGCGCCCCACGGCATGGTAATCTCAGAGACGATGATTTGCACATGGATTAGTTCATACTGATAGTCGACTTGCGCAGCATCTGCCGCACTCGCTCTTCTCTCACCCTCCTGGCTCCGGCGTCAAGGCGAAATCAAAACAACTGAGAAAGGGGTCGGACGCAGTGGCAGATAAACAATCTACCTGCGTGTGCCACACACACCTGATCCTCGAACGATGAAGCAGGTTTTCGCAAAAACAAGAGGACTCGGATCCCATCTGGGTGGTAATGCTACGGAGGCCGCATTAAGAAAGGAACATCGCAGTTTGACTCTCTGTCGTGGGCGGGCCGAGTAATTTCGCCAACTGGCAGTCTTTCGAGCCACAACTTTTAGTACGTCGTGGTAGTTTAAAAGGGTGACAGATTGTTTGGTAATATGAGGTTTGGTAGCCCCACCTGATGGACACAATACTGTTGGGGTTTGGGGTTAGGGGTTAGGAGTTATGGTTAGAGGTTAGGGTTAGGGATTAGAGTCAGGGGCTAGGGTTAGAGGTTATGCCTAGTGGTTAAGGTTAGGGGCTAGAGTTAGGGGTTGTGGTTAGAAGTTAGGGTTAGGGGTTAGGGCAACTATTTCTCAACCATACAAAGTACAACCGCGCATTCCCAATAGCTTTTCTTTTGCATACAACTACTTGGCCTCGTCGCCCGTACGTTCCCCGTCCCCACCGGTAAAAACCCCTATTACCACCGGTCCCGTAGTAGAGGTGACTGGGGTTTGTTTACTTCAGGTGGGGCTACAGAACCACATCTGACCGATTGTTTGTACTGCGGAATATGCTGAGTCCAGTAGGGACGGAGCCACCAGAGTTGATCTTACTCTCCTATCCGAACCGGTCAGCCATCAGATGTCGGGATTTTGCACAAGCGGCCGGCGCGGCGTGGGCTTGCCCCTAGACATGCTATCACGTCACCCATGTGGGGCATTTGTAATGGGATACGCAGCCCGGCTAACGTGTGCTGTGCCCTTATCTGGCCCTCGTGCTGGCCCAGCGCCGGAAGCCATTACAATAACAGAAATGCTCGTACTTTCCAGGGAGATGAAATAAAATCTTTCTGATTCGAACTACCTAGACTTCATCGTCAGCTTTAAGTTCATTAGTTCATCAGAAAACCTCGAAGGAGATGGATAGTTTGCTGTCTGGAACAGTCTCATACAAGCCTTACAGAACCGGAATCATTTTTCAGTACTATCACATGCGGAAGGAAGGACACTATAGACCCTAAAAACTCTACCCCCCCTCCCCTCGGACACAGGTGACGCAATCACGATTTTGAACGGAACAGGCGACGACCAGAGAGACTGTACTTATAAAAAGACAAATAAACTTATAATCTCTTAACACAAATGCTACTAAGACACCGGTTTCGTCGGATGCTAAAGTTCGAGGCGTCTTTAGGAGAAAAAAACGACTCCATCAAGTTCACAAAACTGACGCTCCAATGCGACCGATGGTATAGTTGGTCCTCAACTCCATCCACTGACAAAGAATGGTGGAATCTTAACTGAGAACTGTACAGAGTATTTAAGTAAATCGCGATAAATGGCAACTACAGCGGACGAGATAATGGTTTTCCTCGATGTCGTCCCACTGTTTAATTTAATACCGCTAGAATTGGCAAAACAACGTAACAGAGCAACGCTCCCAGTCCTACAACACGGACAATACTGCGACTGCTTTGCATGAATTCTTAGATATATGTCTATAAGCCAATTTTTCATTCGTCCAGGAATACTACCAACAACTGACGGGAACACCTATGGCTTACCATAGTTTCATTGCTGATATAAGAAACTACGGTTCTTCCACTAATTTATTCTTAATTATGGCTTCATTATGTGATTGATAAATTTGTTGTTGCTAAAAATATCGTCTGGAAGTGCTTCACAATATCACGGACCCACATTTTCCAGGAATAATATTTAGGCTGGAAGAGAGAATTTGATAAAAACTCCCATTTATATATGTCCTTATACAACAAAAGAATGATCAAACATTTAACACATCAATAACTTGCAATGAAATTTGTGTGGAAGCCAGTCTGCCTTATAAGAGCAGTCAGCCCATCTCTCACATATGGAATACTATCGACAGCCCACTTAATCGAGCAAAAGTACTCCGCTCACATAGGGGAGGCCATCCAATAGAATTAACTTAACTGTTCGAATTATTGTACCTAAGTTGGTACCCTAGGGGTTATGTAAGTAGGTGCATGAGTCAGTGCGAGTCAGAAGAAAAGAAACTAGGTGGATAAAGTCAAACAAGCAAGTTAACAACATGGTAAACGGTCCCTCACAGTTGTGCTCAAACTGACCACCACAGTATGCACCCTGATTTTACATCTCAAAGGTAGATCTTGTTAGTTATATAAGAAAGAAATCTCATAGAACATGTCATGTGATGCCTGCGATAGAATATACTATGGTTAAACGGAAAAATCGCCCTCGACACGCATTTATGGGCATCACATGACAAGGAAAGTAGGCTGCCTTTGCCAAGTAGCCATGCATAGTCTGGATGCTGGACACATCTTTGTTTAAGACAAAGACCGCTTTGTAAGCGTCTGTCCATCCAAGAAATACCCAAGATCTCTCGAAGCCATGTGCTCGGATGACTCATTCGTTAATCAACATACCGGGTTAGCTGTTGCACAGAAAAATTTCAAGGAGAAACATAAAATACGACGACCGATCCAGACGGAATGGCCAGCTAAAGCGACAACTCCTTGCTACAAATGGTAGAGAAGTGGCTATTTTTCGTGCACGTTGGGAAAGTGTCCCGTTTTGCAAATATACTGAATGTTTGACAATGGTCTGGGGGTCCATCTTTGAAAATATTCGTAGTATGACTAATAGTCTCCTCAAAGAACCTACTTCATAGAAACTTATATTTCTTGCGCCACCACCACCACCACCACCACCACCACCACCACCACCACCACCACCACCACCACCACCACCACCACCATCATCATCATCATCATCATCATCCTCCTCCTCATCATCATCATCATCATCATCATCATCATCATCATCATCATCATCATCATCATCATCAGCGACTCTCTGATGGTGGGATCGAGAGAGAACTCGAAACGCCAGGGTGATAAGCTGCTTCTTCCAGCGACCGCACCTTTTTCTTTCTGCGAGGGCTGTATACAGAGTCACTAGGCACAACGGAACGAGTACGCCCCGTAACCTGATCTATGAGACCACTTTATGATCTCCAGTTCTTCTTGAACTATTTTTGCTCACGGCTTCAAAAGGCCGAGCTGTAATTCCGTATCGAACCGCCGTACTTGAAGTGTCCTCACCCTTCTTGACTAAATACCCTGAAGCATGGAAACTGTTCACTTTCCGTGTGAATCTTACAGGCGCGCATGAGGTGCCTACAGTTTGGTAGTATTTCCTGCGAAACTGACTTTCCTAAATAGGTATGACAATGCTTCGATTACTCGGGTAGTAACACTCACAAGCGTGTAGCTCGAAGAAATTTACATTGCCAGGGCCTCGCAAATCTTCACGTAGCACTTGGAGGCCATAAGAGGTTTACTGACGAAGACAGGGTACCAGTGGAAAGGGGGGGGGGGAGGCGAAGAGTTCGCTCCCCAGCCGAATGCTGGGACACCCACGTACTCTTAATCCACAAATTCGACAGAATTGGAGGTTAATTAACTTTTTACCGCTCGTTTTTGGCGTTCTCAGTTCGCCAATTTTTCATCCTTTGCTTGTCAATGTTGTGTGTCCCAAAGAGATCCTTCGCGTGCCTCCCACACACACACACACACATCAGTCACACCTACATTTTTGTCCACCCTTTTAGCCACTTTTACACCCACTGGTTACTCTGTCTTTTTCCACGCAACGGAGTTCCCATATTACGCTTGCGCTTTCTTTCTCACGAAGAGGCGGCCAAAAGGGTTGCTGATCGGATCGTCAGAATCGCGAGTGCCATTAAGCCGCAGTGGTATGCATGGCACATCGGGAGCGATGGCAGTACAAATGTGTATGCACTTGGCGTTCACCAACCTAGCCATTAGCAAGTACGCCGGCCACTGTCGGCCATAAAAGCGGAAATAAGCGGCTCTTGATGTTACATGTTAGCCCGCAGACGGGACGAATTGATCCAGTTCCCCAAGATTTTAGGGACACCCTTAGAACAGAACTGCGATCTTAGTGGGAAGGACAAAGGCAGGCCTGATTTCTCTTCCTCTCGCATACTGATGTAAATGCGTATATTAACAAAAAGTACTAACCGAAGTCTTGCCGGGCCTCGGACCGTTGAACTTGACGTTACCACATTTACGCAGAGAAACGTTTCCGGTGGGTAGGTTAACGTATAGGTAATGTCGACTGTCATGAAAGGGAACTCTTCCAAATCCGGAAAACGAAGTTCCAAGGACAGGTTCAGTTCTACAAGCGCAGCAAATCTCCTATGCAAAAGAAACAATGCTGGCTTTTGCCTGAATGTATTATTTAAACTTTTTTCGAGTCATTACTGATCCATAAGGTTTTAGAAAAAAAAGACGGATAGCACAAGAAAAAACAATGAGAACGAGGAGTGACTACAAGTTATCAGATTGTCCATTTGAATCCTGCGAATAGTAAATAGAATAAATGACCTAACTAATGAAATATTTATCGAAATTTCGAAATATGACTTCGGTTAGGAAGATCTAATACTAATTATCATGCAGCAGAATCTGAAGATGTGTCAGTCACACTAAGTTACCGGCTTTTGAATGCGCGTCTTTACGATCACCTGAAAAAATCACAGCCGATGAGAAATGAATAGCCAGGTAGTACTATTTCTTCCTATCGAATTTCCACGCCCTTATAAATTCGTTTATATTTTGTAGAAAGCATGCACAAAAATATTGCTTATACCCATTTCGTAGTAGATTAAATCTTCTTCAAGTGTTTTGCTTGATTAGCCGGTATCTTCCAGCTTTCGGAAGTTTTCCGATCCTCGAACGATTTGAGACCTTAGAGTTTCCAAAATGTCAGCTGTACACTTCCCATCTAAAAAGTCATGCATTCCTCTGTGTTATTGTGAAAATACCATATAGGGCTTCTAAAACTTTGCAATGGACTTAAGCCACATTGTACACTTTAGGAAGAAGAATAATACATGGAATGATAAGATGGCATCTGAATAGCCCTTCAAAGTCTTACAAATCCCATATTTGCAAACTTCAGTAAATCAAAAGTTACACTTCCCTCGACTAGAAAAACTTGAAAAAGCAATATGCAGGGCTGGGCACAACATATTGGACGCTGTTTCTCTGGCGGTTTATTCTGCTCGTAGACTCCTTGAAAGAAGCAGTCATACATAAAAATATTCATTTATTATTTACTCCTCCGTCTTAAGTACTGTCCCACACAGTCTCCTCCTCAAGGAGATATCTGATTACAACTCTCTGGACTGAACTGTATTCTGGCTCGCGGAGTTGACCTCTTTCAGAAATTAATTTCCCCATTCTGATAACCGTAAATCTTCTCTTCTTCCCAGTGATGGTGGAATACTCTAGTGTGTTATCTTACCCCCTAACCGACCTTAGCTTCTCACTAATGATATGAGATCACCCTATAATTCCTATTGACCCAACTGTGAGAAACTCGGTGCCTCGGTGGGATTCGAACCCACGCAGTAAGGGGAAGGCTTCAGTACAGCTAACGCTCTAACCACTTGAGCTACGAGGCCCCGCCGGACGACGCGAGTTTAATCACATTTGAGTTAAGTTACCCGCCCAACCTACTGCAACGTCTGGAATCCACCAAATCTGATACAGTAAGTTGACTGCCCAAGCAGGATATCTTAAGTAATTCACCTAGAATCCACCACATGACTACCAGGCTCGCGTAATTCATCGATATCGATTAATCGCCCTATCATTTAAATATGTTGATGATACAGATGTTTGTTGTCCTGCCAAAGATGACCTTAATCTTCTTCGCCTTAAGGATGGCATGAATCATGTGCCGACATCGGTTGGAAATCACTTCACTGATTTTTGGTTGCCACCATCTCACGGTTCTTTGGTATTTCCATACTCGTATAGGAGGAGCCGACCGTTCCTTCGTGTCACTTAACTAGGATACTGCGATTTGGCATGATTGATCCTCGCTAAAAAAGCACGCATCGTGCAGTCATTTTGCTCGAGACACCGCCAGATTACAGTAACGACTTCTGAAATCTCTTGCCGCGACAGTGAGTCTTTCAGCCTCAGAACCTGCCAAATCCGGGTTTGTGGCCAACCCTGATTGTGGGCGGTGTTCGAAGGCGGCTGTCGACTTTGCAGTTGTACTCGGCGTAAAAAAAACAGTGCCAAAATGTGGAGCTTTTTTCGAGTTTTTCCTACACTTTCTAACAGCCTTGTCCGAATGGTTATTTGCTCCAAACTCCAGGTAGACATCCGTAATTCGAACTCGAATCAGTTGGCGATCGAGAGTTTCTGATTCAAGGGTCCCGTCACCTGAATGTCAGTCAGGGAGATCGAAAGTCACACGGGAGGTGACACTGCCGTTGCGCCTTTTATCCCCCCCCCTCCCCCCGGTCTGGGGCCTCCGAAAGCGGTCGCAAGGTACAGGGCGATCGATAATCGATAGGCGCATCTGATCCAGGCAAAGGAGGCTGCAAGGGTCGTTTTTGACTTTTCTAACATCATCAGCCAGCCGTTGATGTCCTGTTAATGACCAACCGACAACTTTTACGGGTGTAACTGATGCAAACCTGACGAAACTGCCGGGCCCTGAGGTCCTCCGTCTAGTGGAATGCAACGACGAACTGCTGACGGCCTGAGTGGCAATCTCAGGGAATAAACTTATATGGTTTGTGGTGCCCTGCAGCCTACAGCTTGATAAAACAACGCTGGTACTAGCAAACACAGGTACATCAACTCTTAAATCAAAGATGCTACTTCGTATAGTGTCCAAATCATCGCCTGGAACTTCGAGCCGCTCCAAAATAAAGCACAGATAAATGTTTTAATGCACATTTCAAGAAGGCGAATCCTCACAGTTTAACTGGATAGCATCTCCCCCTGCTTTCGAACACTGTTCCGAGACTTCCTATTGTAGTTCAGGAAAACTAAAATTATCTGCAATACCAGGGGTACGAAGCAGTATCTTTCCTGCTATGGTCTCCTTCTTCAACACATTCGATTCAGGAACTAGTGTGAAACCCTATAATATATTTTTGCCTTGTGTATGCGATGCGAAAGTATCCCTCCTCCGCCTCCAAAAAACAAACAACACTACAGATGCGCTGAGCCAAAACGGGAGTCACAACGGCTCATTACATGCATTTACCGGTCCGCGCGGCGTCCATGCCTGTGGCATGCTGAAGATGAAGGCTTTCACATCACAATAGCCACTGC